GGACACCACTCCAGCATTGTGCCCATTTTTGAAGGAACTTAGACCAGTTAGACAAGGACAGGAGGAGGACCAGTGAAGGGTAGGGTGCTCTGAACGGGACTCAGTCCTCGAAGCTGCTGGGAGAAGTTTGGTGCTGGGATCGTGCCTGGAGCTTGGAGCTGTTTATCTGCGGCTAACCCATCACTAATCCCTGCCTTATCACTGTTGTTTGCCCAGGGAGAGTTCAAACATGGGGCCAGGAGGTCCAGGGGACAGGGGAGGGGAGAGAAGGGACACTTGCAGGGCTTTTCCCGTGTTAAAAATAGTGCAGGGCTCCAGGGCTGGGGGTCTGCAGTGTCCCCCCCCCACTGCCCCACCCTCGGGTGCCAGGTGGTAAGCCTGAGGTTGACTGTGCCCGCTCCATGTCTGGCTTCCCACAACAGCCCTTCCTCCTAGGAAAGCCCCGAGATGCAGCCCTGCTCTGCTTGGCTGCCCCATGGGCCATCCCGGGCCACACCTGGGCAGCAGGAAAGCCCCATGGCCCCGAAGTCTGGCCACTGGCACGGAGGGTCCAGGAGGGTCCAAGTCATTTCCTGCCCAGGGAGCCCAAGCGCTGCTCAAGAGGACAGCTGGGTGCCCTGAGGAGCCTCAGTTTCCCAGATCTAAAACAGGGCACCTCAGTTGCCACATGAGAGAGGTGTAGGGTAGCCGAGGTGATGCTGTCACATGGGCCCAGCCTCAGGGCCAGATGGGGTCCTGCTGGATGATCTCAGAGAAGACCCTTTTCCTTTCTAGGTTTATTGAGGTTTAATCATCCTCATTAGCCAGCTTATAGGGCCTCTGGGGAGCCGTCCCAGCAGAGGAGCTCTGTGGTCCCCGAGTTCCACAGGTGCCCTCTCCCCTGGACTTTGTGGTTGCAGGAGATTAGGGGGCATCCAAGAAGGGTTTGGCCAGGCAGCTATAGACTCATGGATACCTTCATTGTATCCACCTGTCCCACCAAGGGTGCAGGTCCAGCAGGCGCTGGTCTGGGCAGTGACATCAGTGTGGCCAGCTGGGGTGGGACAGCTCCAGGCTGAGGGCTGTGGGGTGCAGAGCGGGCTGGGTGTCCTGTCTCCCTGTGTGCCTTCCTCTGCAAAATGTGGAAGCTCTACTTTGTGGCTGCGTTGGTGATAGGACAAAGACCGTCCTTGCTTCCCTGGGCTCTGAGCAGGAGGAGCAGTGAGTGGGCTGCAGGCGCTAGGGGTCCCCCTGTTCAGAGCAGACCTTGGGAAGCATAGAGGGCCTGGGTGGAGCGGGAGGCTGGTCCCATCAGTAAGGTGCAGTCAGTCCTGACATTGGTTCCCGGTGTCCAAGGCAGGACCTTGGGCCTGGGGGAGGGGAGGGTTTGAGCCCCCTCTCTGTGCCTGCCCCTTCAGAAGTCACCTATCTAGGGTCCGCACAGGGCCCCAGCAGTCCCCATACTAGAGCCACAGCGCCCTCCAACTCCCTCTGCGGTCCCTGGAGCCTCCGCCAGGCCCCCACCCCAGGGACCCAAACCCACCAGCAGGATCCTGCAAAGGCAGAGGCTGCACTCCACTGTCCTGAGGCGTGACAGAGAGCCCAGGCTCCCTGCCCTGCCTCAGCTTCACAGAGTTGCCCATCCCTGGATCACCTCCCCAAGGACCCAGAGGCTGTGGCAATGGCCCCGCACTGGCCCTAGCCTGAGGCCCACTGCACACCTGTCTCTCCATCCCTGACCCCTACCCTGGCCCTGAGGCCCCTGGGGCTGGGCAGGGACAGATGGGGATGGGACCTTGGCCAAGGCCCAGCTTTCTTCTGAGCAAACAGCTCCTGCCAACCATATGCTGCAGCTCTGATTTGTGTGGCCCAGTGGACGGCTGAGGTCACCTGCTGCACCCCACCCACCACCCTGACATCACGGTCACCCTGCACCCTCCCAGCATCCCAGAACCCTGCGCTGGGCCCTCCCACGGCTGGGCTGCCCAGCCCCAGCCACCATGCCGGGATTCCAGCTCCATCCCAGAGGCTGACGAGAGAGCCCCACCTTGCCCCGCAGTGCCACAGACCTGGCGCCCCCAGCGGCAAATGCAACCACCTTGGGGCTTCCTCTCCAGGGCAGGGCCCTCATCCTGCCCTCCGCAGCCTAGCTCCTGGGCCTCAGCCAAGGCCACAGAGGGACCCCAGGCTGAAGGGAGCTGGGGGACCTGGGCTCCCGATGCACCCAGCAAAGCGCCTGCTCCTGCCCGGTCCCCACCCCCCTCCCATGGCTTCCTACGATCCCTCCTCGCCTCCTAGCCATGGTCCCCGTCCCCTTCCACTTCCTCTTGCCCTGGCAGGCGCCTGGTCTCCAAGTGCCTGGCGCCCCCTGGTGGCCACGAACACACGGCGGGGCCGGAGGGGTTACTACGGGGGCGGAGCCAGCAGAGGGAAAAGGCGGGGCCGTGGGACGGCGGGATCCTCAAAGGAGTGGGTCCTGCACACAGTTGTCCGCGTTGCCGCTTCTGGGGCTGCACCGCCCCCCGGTGGCCACATGCGGCGCTGCCTGAGGCAGCCACCTTCTGTCACTGCCCCCGGCCACGCAGGCCCGCTCAGGATCCGAGCCCTGGGTGAGGGTGGCAGTGTGAGCTCATCGCCATAAACCCAGAGCCGTCTCAGCTTTGGATTTCTGGCCTGGAAACCCTGGGCCAGCCCACCCTAAGCAGTAGGAAGCAAGACCCAGGACCCCCACGCAGAGAGGGCTGGGCAGAAGCCAGGACCAGTCATGCTGGGGATCCAGACCCAGGCATGTAAAGCTGCCCCGCCAAGCCGAACAAAACAGGAAAACTAATGGGATATGAGTAGATGCAGCCGGGTGTGATGACGCACTCCTGTAATCCCAGCACTTGGGAGGCTGAGGCAGGAGGATCCTCGCAAGTTCAAGACCAACCTGGGCTACAAAGTGAGCCCAAGGCTAGCCTGACCTGCATAGCGAGACCATCTCAAAAAGAAAAAACAGAGTGGATGTAAATGAAGTAGAGGTGGACAAACAGTAGAGAGAGATCAATGGAACCAAAAACTGGTTATCTGAGGAAATCTATGCACCCCGATAGATTTCCAGTTGGGGATGAACAAAGAAAAGGAAGAGGGGGGAAAGCATACATCATCCATGTCAGGACAGAGAGAAGGGGTGCCATCATGTACAGCTCAGACAAAGAGACTCAGGAGACTGAGGCAGGAAGATCCTGAGTCTGAGGTCCACCTAGGCTGCATGGGGAGTTCAGGGCCAACCTGGACCACGTGACAAGACCTTGCCTCAAAAAACGAAAAAAAAACCACAAGAATGAAAGAGCATTATTAATGCAATAGCAATAACAACAAAACCACCCTGAAACCAAGATGAAAAGGAAGAGTCGCTGAAAGACCCTGCTGTTAGTGGCAACCACAGCCCTTGCAGCCCTTGAGGGCAGTCTTGCCCAGGTAGCTTCACTGGGTCATGGAGACCCGAGACTACAGCCAGATGGGATGGCATAGGAGGCCCAGGCGCTGACCTGGCACTGAGTGAGTGTCCCCAAGCCACGTGCTGAAGCTCTGGTCTCCAGGGTGGCCTGGAGGAGGTCACAGGTCCCTGGGGCATTGGCTTCGGGGGCACCTTGGGTCCCTGGCCCCCCTCTCTTTTCTTCCCATTGAGGTGAGGTTCTCTACACCTCCTGCCCTAGCCATGGGTGGGGTTACTTGAGCACCCTAAATTGTCTTGGTAATTGCTGGGGTGTTCTACTGTAGTTACAGAAATCTAATACAGCTGCTGAGAAACACAGACCTGAACGTCCTTAACAACACATCAGGGAATCTGGTCCATTAATATATAAAGAGAAGACTTCCAGGAGAACATGGAGGATAGATAACAGCAGCTATAGAGGCTCTCTGAGATAACCAGCTTAGAATCCAGGAATGGTGCAGTGTGAGGAGTTCTAAGCAAGGGGAGATATACTCTGCCGACCCAGGAACCAACTAAGCTGAGAGAAACCAACTGGAAATGCAGTCCCAATGCTATGACCAGAACAGGTATCTCAGCGCCGAATCTCAGCGCCAAAGCTGGAACCCATGCCTCTGGAAACCACAATTTGAATTTCCTGCTGCCACTGCTGCATCTGAATCGGCACAGCAAGGATAGAGACGCGAAAGCTCTGAGAGTGGGAATCAGCGAACCGAATTGAGAGTGGAACTGGTGGGGAGCCCTGCATCAACCTGTGGTGAGTGAGAGGAACGGGGACCCTTCCATAGACTAGGTGGCTCCAACAGAGGACATTCTGGGACTGGGCAGACTAGCTGGAACAGGATGCTGCAGTGACTTTATTCGCATATTCCCCTCTCAAGCAGGATTGGTGGGGAGCATCCGACCTGGGTGAAGCCACGGACTAAGACCCAGTAGGCTAGCCCAAACCAGGTCCCACCCCTGGCAGTGAAGCCTTTAGTAGGTTGACCTGGAGGGGCAGGCCCAACATATGCTGCCCTGGTCTGTGTCTCCCTAGTGCAGTGGGCGGCAACACCTAGCTGGCACAATTCAAACAAACTGTAACCCACAAAGAAAGAAACTGTGCCTCCTATATACGCCTGTATAGAAGGAACGAAAAATATGAGAAGAGGAGGCAACAAGAAAGGGTCCTAGGTCCCCAGTCCTGAGAACACTGATCCAGGAAAGGTAAATGCAAAGGAGAATGAGGACAGAAAACATGCAATATCAGACACGGCAGCAATAGACATAAAGCCATATCTCTGCAGCCTCATAGACAAATTCAAAAGTGAAGTATTTAAAGAAATAAAGCAAGATATAAGTAGAATAGTTAGAGAAATGCTAATCACCGCCCAAGAAAAAACAGTTGGTGGAATGAAAGAAGAGAAAAAAAGGGGAGAATTGTTTGATGGAGAAAATGGAGAAAACATAGAATACGTGAAGCAGATTCAAAGAGATTACCAGGAAAATAAAAACTCTATTGAAAGCTGGCATAACAGCTTGAAAGAAACTAAGGATAGATTATCTGTTTTTTTAAAATTTTTTTAATTTTATTTAAGGAGAAAAGAAAAAAAAGCAGAGAAAGGGTACAAGTTATACAGATTTACAGAAAAAAAATAAACAGTAGGAAATCATTAGTTAATGGATTACATATTGTCATCTTAGAAATAATTGTTCAAGTCACAAAATTAAAGCTTGTAAAGTGGACATTCCAACAATGATACTGCAAACAGTTCTGTTCAATGATCCAATAAAACTCTGTGATATCATTTTCTATCTTATACACTTAAATATACATGCAGTTATATAGTTTAGAGCACTTTCTTTTCCTCTCTTTTGTACAATGACTATTACACATTTTGGGTTTCATTGCTCCCACGGTTCTTATTACTTTTTTGGAAGAGAGTAAAACCAAATGTGACATAACAGAATAGAATCGGTCAAGTCAAAAGGGTGGACATAATAGATAATGTAAAAACATAATACAAGGTGATCAACAATGGTTACCATAATGCCTCCCGCTATCTCTAATAGAATTGCCTATATCATTAGTTATAATACGATTGAACAAAACAGTAAAGAATAAAACCAACAAAACCAAAGCATTGGAGACATTGTAGGTCTTCAAAAGTAGATAAAAGTCAACGAGAATGGGCGTTATAATGAATCTCATTATCTTCACAGCTGTTGCTTAAACTTTCAAACCTGATACTATCCAGCAAAACAGAATAGGGGAACATCAGTCAAAAACAAGATGGTGAGAGTAATACAGGGCTTTAAATTGAGATAATGGAAAGTCAAAGTGGGTTACTATAATATATCCTGCTATTTTTTTCCTTTAATTAAAAGGATAAAAATAAAAAAGTAAATAATAAAAAAAGGAGATTGACATAAAAGAGGGCATAACAGCGAAACAGTGCAAATCAAAACATAACCATTTAAGCAGAATAGTGTTTCACCACCAGATAATCCTGACCTAAAAGTAGTTACCATATTGTCTCTTTCCTTGAAATCCTTGAGTACAACTTCATATACTGTAGCATTAAGTATATCAAAACAATGTAAAACCATTTAAGAGATTGACAGCATTACAGAGTATTTAGAATCAACTAACAGAAAATGAACAATGGTTTCTGTATAATCTCCTTGTCTTTAAAAGGTTTTTGCTTATACTATCGTACATAATAAAATCCAATAAGATACAACCTATTTAGACCATTGGAGACAGAAGAACAAAAGCTAGATGAGACTTCAAAACAAGATGATACTAAATCAGTTTTACCTATTAAGATGTCATTTTCTCCAAATTAGTTGCTCCTATCATCCAATCTTCTCTGTCTCATTTCTGTTGAGCTCTTTTTCTGTCAGTGGCTATCAGTTTGTCTTCTTCATTTTGTTCTCTGCTCCATTCATTGTGGCCTCCCCGCCACTATTTCTGGATTCTTTGTATTTTTCTTTTTTTAGAATATCCTGCAAAACTTTCTGTAGAGTTGAATTGGTGGTTGCAAATTCCCCCAGTTCCTCTTTATCCTGGAAGCACCTTGTTTTTCCATCAATTTCCAGGGACAGTTGTGCAGGATATCTCAATCTTGGCTGGAGGTTATTATCTTTCAAAGCTTGAATTATTTCCCCCCACGCTCTTCGTGATTTGATGGTTTGTGCAGAGAAATCTGCTGTAATTCTGATGGGTGTTCCCTTGTAAGTGGTCTGTTTCTTGTCTCTGACAGCTTTTAATATTCTGTTCTTGTATTGAATTTCTGGAATTTTTATTATTATATGCCTGGGTGTTGCTCTGTTTGGGTTGTAGGTAGCTGGGGTCCTGTATGCCTCATACATCTGAGTATCTTTACCTTTTGCTAAATTAGGAAAATTCTCCTGGATTATTTCTGTGAGTAGCTTTTGTAGTTCACTTGTTTATGTCCCTACTTCTTCTTTTATGTTCAAGCTTTGAAAGATAATAACCTCCAGCCAAGATTGAGATATCCTGCACAACTGTCCCTAGAAACTAATGGAGAAACAAGGTGCTTCCAGGATAAAGAGGAACTAGAGAAATTTGCAACCACCAATTCAACTCTACAGAGAATACTGCAGGATAATCTCAAAAAGAAAAATACCAAGATTCCAGAAACAGTGGCAGAGCGGCCACCATGAATGGAGCAGAAAGTGAAATGAAGAAGACAAACTGACAACTAATGACAGAAAAAGAGCTCAACAAAAATGAGGCAGAGAAGGTTGGATGGTATGAACAGCTATTTTGAAGAAAACAAGACATCATAATAGCTATTGCTGATTTAAATCATCTTGTTCTGAAGTCCCATCAAGCTTTTGTTCTTGTGTCTCCATTGGTCTTAACATGTTGTATTTTATTGGATTTCATTATATGTGATGATATCAACAAAAACTTTTATAGACAAGGAGATTATACAGAAACCATTGTTCATTTTCTGTTAGTTGGTTCTAAATACCCTGTAATACTGTCATTTTCTTGAATGGTTTTACATTGTCTTGATATGTTTGATGCTACAGTATATGAAGTTATACTCAAAGATTTCAAGGAAAGAGACACTATGGTAACTACTTTTATGTCAGGATATCTTATGGTGCAACACTATTTTGCTTAAATGGTTATGTTCTGGCCTATATTGTTTTGTTGTTATGTCCTGTTTTATCTCAATCTCCTTTTTTATTATTTACTTTTTTATTTTTATCTTTTTAATTAAGAAAAAATAAATAAAATAGCAAGATATATTATAGTAACCCACTTTGATTTCCTATTAGCTTGATTTGAAACCCTGTATTGCTCTCACCATCTTGTTTTGACTGATTTTCCTTCCATTCTGTTTTGCTTGATAGTACCAAGTTTGAGAGAATAGGGAAAAACTGTGAAGACAATAAGATTCACTATGACGCCCATTCTGGTTTGATTATTATCTTCTTTTGAAGTCCTGTAATGTCTCCAATGTTTTGGTTTTATTGGTTTTGTTCTTTGGTGTTTTGTTCAATTTTATTATAACTGATGATATAGGCAATTCTTTTTAAGATAGCAAGAGGCATTATGGTAACCATTGTTGATCACCTTGTATTCTGTTTTTACATTATGTACTATGTCCATCCTTTTGATTTGACTGACTCTGTTTTGTTATGTCACATTTGGTTTTATTCTTTTCAAAAAAAAGTAATAAGAACTGTGGGAGTAATAAAACCCAAAATGTGTAATTGTCATTGTAAAAAATAGAGGAAAAGAAAGTGCTCTAAAGTATATAACTATATGTATATTTAAGTGTATAAGATAGATAACCATATTACTGAGTTTTGTTGGATCATTGAACAGAACTGTTTGCAGTCTCACTGTTTGAAAGCCCACTTTATATGCTTTAATTTTGTAACTTGAACAACTATTTCTAAGATGACAATATGTGATCTATTAACTAGTGATTTCCTACTGTTTATTTTTTCTGAAAAATTTATACCTTTTTTTTCCTCCTTAAATAAAATTTAAAAAAAATATATATATATATATATAGAACTAGTGTCCAGGGGACTGTCTGGGGGACTGCAGTTGTCCCAGGAGTGCAAGGTCAGTCTGCTGTTCCGAGATCAGGGATGGAGTACTACTCTGCCACGAAGAATGATAAGGAGTCACCTGTGGGAAAATGGATGCACCTTCAGGCCGTAATGTTTAGGGAAACAAATCAGATGCATGAGCTTGGATATCACATGGTTTCTCTTATATGAGAAACTCAAAGTGTAAATAAAGAGCAAAATACAAGATCGATCTTAGGAAACAGGGAGACGAATCTTCCTCAAAGGGGAGGGGGATCAAGAGATGGAGGGGGAGAAGAGGGAGGGGAAGGACCAGTTCCCCACGATGAGCATAATCAATTCATATTACAAACCGGTACCAACAAAAAGAAAATAATGTCGGATGTGCAGTTACCATAGCAACAGAATAAAAACGAAGCCTGTGATCGGTCCACAGACAGCAAAGGCTTCGGAGGATGCTCACCACTTGTTACTAAGCAGAACCTCAGAGATGAGGCACAGGGCAGGTTGCGACCCTGAGTGAGACCAGCTGTGCAGGGCTGCGCTGATGCCCACTGCGTGGGGGCTCCCAGGTTGGGGCACGGCAAGGACACCACCCTCACTGTCCCCTCCCCAGCACTGGGCAGGAGGTCCCGCTGGTGCAAAGTGGCTGGACAAGGAAGAGGGGAGAAGCTTCACTGAAGGAGACCCCATCTCACACGCCTGGAATCCCAGCGTTCAGGAGGCTGAGGCAGGAGGATCACAGCAAGTTTCAGGCCAGCCTGATATACAGTGAGTTCAACTCCAGCCTGAGCTATGTAGTGCAAACCTGTCTGAAGATAAATATGTACATATGGACATCCATCCTACAGTAGTAGCTAAATTAATTTAGCAAGGCTAAGGGGCAAGGGGCTGATGTATAAAACTCAGTGGAATTTTTCTAGGTCAGTGAAACAGAAACGTAAAACAGTAACTACAACATCAGGATATCAAGTGCCCAGGAATCAAACTACAGAAAAAATACACAAGACTTTCAAACTAAAAGCCAGAAAAGCAGGCCTGACAAGTGGAGGAAGCCTGTGTCATCGGTGAGGCTGACTGATGGTGGACCTGAAGCCTCCATGTTTCCAAAAGTGTGTGCAGATTCCTTGCGGTTCCCATCACACTTCCCCCTGGCTTTGAAAATACTCATGGGGAGAATCCTGACAAGAAAGGCCCAGCATTGGCAGAGCAGCCTTGATAATTTGGACAGAGCTGTGGTCATCGAGACTGAGGGCCACAGGCAGAAGGGACAAAGCGGCTGGAGGCTGGATGAGAGGACAGGTCCAGTTTTTTCGTTTTTCTGGGGTTTTTTTTGGTACTGGGATTGAACTCACCATCTGGTAGCCACCAGGCAGGTGCTTGTGCCACTGAGTTAAATGCTCAGCCCTTGTGTTTGTCTTTTTGAGCTGGGTCTAACTATGCAGATCAGGCTGGCCTTGGGCTCACTTTGTAGCCCAGGCTGGTCTCGAACTTGCAGTGATCCTCCTGCCTCAGTGCTGGGGTTACAGGTGTGGGCCACCATGCCTTGGTGTTTAGGGGTGTTTAGAGGATTTGCTGTGCTATGTCCTACAACCCGCATGATGAGCCACCCGCCCACAGTGTGTGAGGCTCCTCATTCATCTGCACCCCAAGGCCACTTGCTTTCCCTTCTCTTCGGGCTTCCAATCTGTGGCTCCTGGTGCCGTGACGTGAGTGTCACCTTGCCAGGTGCTGGGCACCAGGTACTGGGTGCCTCTGTGTCCTCGGCCCAGAGGTCGTTGGTGATGCGCACACGCTGCCCACAGCCAGCCAGGCCAGCCCCACGCCAGCATACATGGGCTCAGCGGAGACAGAGGCTGAGAGGTTCACATGGGAGGAGTTGCCGGAGCCACTCTGGGTCAGCTTGAAGTAGGTGCCGAAGGCGCTGGTGCTGAACACCATGACCATGCCTGCAGATGGGCAGGGGCCCCACAGCGAAGCCTGGGCACCTCAGAGGGGCAGGCCTGGCTCCCTAAGCACGGTTGGCTGGGTGTCCTGGCACTGTGGCTTGGGATCCCTGACTGGGCCTTGACTGCCTGGGGGGACACTTCCAAGCGGCCTCTCTTCCTACCCCAGCCTGACAGAGTAGGGGCAGTGAGTCTGCCCTGCCTCACAGCAACCAGGCTGAGGCTCATATGAGCCACACCTCAGTCCTAAGACAGCTGCTGCCATTCGCCCCACTACACAGAGTGGGAAACTGAGGCTCAGAGAAGGCACTCACCAAAGAGGAACACGTGGTCTGATTCACTCCACCCCCACTTCCTCAGCTCTGTCTTCTGATGTGAGCGGCAGCCCTGATGGCCCTTCTTGCAGGTTCCCTGGCCCTAAGCAATGTCTGGCTATATCTGTGGGCCTTGGTGGCCTCTGGCGTGTGATACCCCGTGCAGGGCTGAGCCCTGGAGTCTCACCTGACAGGATCAGGAGCAGCCTCCGCCCTGCTCGATCCATGATGAGGGCTGCGATGCCCGTGAACAGCACTTGGATGGCACCCACAATGACCGAGGCCAGGTTGCTGTTCTGGGGGGACACAGGGGTGGGGCTGCTCAGGGGGCCACCCAGAGGTGACTCTTGCATTCCCTGCTCCTGTGCTGGGTGACGAGGCCCTGGGCTCCAGGAGGTGGCACCACCCATGTGGACTCTGCATGAGGCAGGCTGGGCTGAGGCCTCTTACCTTGAACTTGGCCTCCTCGAAGATGGTTTCTGTGTAGAACATGATAGCGTTGATCCCGGACAGCTGCTGGAAGGCCATCAGTGAAATGCCAATGATGAAGGGCTTGTAGATGCCTGGGTGCCTCAGCAGGGTCAGCTGGAAGCCCTGCTCCCAGGGAGATGAGGGGCATGGCTGTCAGTGTCTCTCCACCCCGACCCCTTTCTGAGCTACTCTCCTAAAGCTCAGAGGCAGCCTTGGCATCCAGTCCCTGCCCACCTCAGTCTCAGGTGTGCAGAGGAGCCCTGTGCACAAGGTGAGACTCTTTGCTTCCCCCGCAGACAGGTTCCCTGAAGACTTTGGCAAAGAACATTCTATTCTCTGAGGCCTGGTCCCCTTCAACACACCCAGTGCTCACCTTGGATCAGGCCCTGGCTAGGTCCCTCCCACAGGCTCTGGTCCACATCATGGCACCACCACTGGTGGGTGCCAGACCCCAGCGAGCAGAACAAACCAAGGCCCCACAGAGCCAGGGAGTGCAGTCTGACTCCACAATCTCTTTTTTGTTTTTCTTTTTTTTTTTTTTTTTTTGAGAGAAGTTCTCACTTCTCTCAAAAAGTAGTTCATAGGTCAGGCTGGCCTCAAACTCAAGGTGATCTCCTTGTCTCAGCCTCCTGAGTGCTGACAGTATGGGTGCCACACCTGCTCCACCATCCAGATGTAACCTCCCGTCCTACCCTGGTTAAGTCTCAGGTCCTCTATGCTGCATTTGTATGGCCCCTGTCCAGGGTGGGCTTTCTCTTCCCGGGACAGCAGGAATTGAGGTGCAGGCTTTCCCGGTGACCTCTGAGGCTAGGGGGGCTCCAGCCAGCTTCTGCCTGTCCCGACAGCACAGCACAGGTGCGCTGGCTATGAGATCAGGCCATACCACCCGGCCCTGCCCCATCTCTCCTGGGCCCCAGCTGCAGCTCCCAGGCCCTTACCTGGTACTCGGCCCCAATGGGAGGCTCTTCCCAGTCTGCTTCGGAGCCCCACAGGAAGCACATGGCGCTCCTGGCCTCCAGGAGCTTGTGCTGAGACAGGAGGAAGCGTGGCGTCTCAGGCATGCACCACATGAGCAGCAGCATGAGGGTCGGGGGCCCGCAGCCCAGCACCGCCAGCCAGTGCCACTCCAGTTTCTGTTATGAAACTCCGTGTCACACAGCTGAGTTTCTGAGTCAACTGGACTGGGCCATGTTGGGAGCAGAATCCGGCCCACGCGTCACTGGGATAATGGATGGTCACAGAGGGGAGGGGTGGAGAGAGGGAGGCCAGGCTGGGTGGGGACAGAGCGGGGAGTGGCCCTGGCTCTGTCCCCTCCACATACTGAAGGCTCTGGCTGGGTCCTGCTCTGGGCAGCAGCAAATCCCCAACGCAGTCTCAAAAAGATCAGATTGTTTCTGGATAGGAGCTTCGAGCTGCCCATGGGGCTGCCCTCTTCTAATCAGGACCCAGCAGCCCCTTGGAGTGCGTGGGCAAGTGGCCTAGTGTGTGCACAGCTGTGCTCACAGCAGCATCGCTCACACCAGCCCACAGGATCAGAAATTCATCACCAGGCAGGGGATGAGCAAACAGTGGTACACACACTTGCACACACACACACACGTACACACACAGCACTGTCAGCCTGGACAACAAAGGGAGACCTGAGGTTCACACACCGAGCTGCTCAGAACTGCGAGTTTCTGGTTCTGCGGTCGAGGGGTAACTTCCTGTGCCAGCTGGACTACTTCCTGTCGACTGAGCTGGGCCAGGGGTTTCGAGGATTCCACTCATGAATTGCTCTGGGACGTCTGTGTGTGTGCCTTGGGTGAGGTTGACAAGGGAGTGAGAATATGGTGGCTGCAGGGCTGGTGGGCTTCCCTCTGTAGGCGGGCTCCGTCTAATTAGCCAAAGAACAGAACAGGACAAAAAGCACTTGCAGAACACAGCCTGGGCCCTGTACCCAGCACTGTGGGGATTCTTTTTCTTTTTGTTTTTTCTCTCTTTCTTTTTTTTTTTTTTTTCTGGTACCAGGGGACCCAATTCATGACCTCGAGTTTGCAGGCAGGTGCTTATGCCACTGAGCTTAATCTCCTGGATTTAAAAAATATATATATTAAGCAAGGACACCAAGAGCAGGTCCCCAGATCTGCAGCTGCCACCTGGGGTCACCTCCTCCATAGACACTGAAGTGTACCCCTCAGGTGTTCACTCCACGCTGTTTCTCTGGCCCCTGAGTAGTGCGGGGAGGCCCCCTGGGCCATCAGAGTCCAGGGCCAGTCCAGGGTGCAGGAAAGATAGAGCCTGTGTCACAGCCACAGTGTCAGTTTTGTGCAGTGGAAAATGTCCAGGAGTCAGATGTGATGATGGCTCTCCAGGGTGCGAACCATCCACCCAGCAGCGGTCAGGCTAGGACATCTGTGTCCCTGAGCTGAGCTCACAGATGCCCAGCTGGGCTGAGCAGGTGGCTGGGGAGGGAGCACAACCACTGCCCGGGGCCAGAACCACCACACACCCAGCCCAGGGGCCGTGCTGAGAGCCAGGTCCCCACAGCTGCCCCACCCGCCCCCGTGGACAGATGGGTGCAGAAGAGATTGGGGAAGGAGCCCCAGGCAGGAGCTGGAGAAAGGTGACTTGATCTCCAGGAGCCAGGGCCTTGGTCTCCCGCCCTGGAGCAGCAGGACCCACCAGTGCTGATCAGCACCAACCTGCTTCCTCTGCGGCCGATGGAGCTGTCCCAGGTGTAGATCATGGGCACAGCAGGCTGCAGGGTGGCATGAGGGACAGGAAGGATGTTAAGCAGTGGCAGGGCCATGACTGGACAGGTCAGGCTGGCACAGCCATGGACCTTCGACACTGAACCTCCAGGTTCCTGTGAGATTTGCTTTTCTATTTTTTTTTTTTTCTCAATTTCAAAAGGAAGGTGTGCAGCGCCTCTGTGGAAAGATAGAACCCCACCCCCGCACCCCCAGAATCCCTCTCTGCCCTCTGTTGAGCCCTCAGCAACCATGGTCCCTGCAGTGTCCCATAGCTTCCTGCAAGGGAGCGCCCTCGCCCCCACTTGCTCCAAACACCGCACAAGCTCAGCGGATCCCGCGGTACCACTGTAGCATCCGGGACCAGCGCGGCTGCTCCGAGGTCCAGCTGCCCCTCCCCCACCCCACTAACAATTGGCTCAATAAAACATTAGAATGACCAAGTCTTACCTTTCCGGCCAGTGCACCAAGATGCTTCATCGGGGCGACCTGCATCCCTGCTCGGTTGCCTGCAGCCCAACCACGGGGACCCAAGCCCCCAAGACAAGGAGAGGGAGGAAGCTTAAGGAAAGGAAGACGCTTTATTTGTGGAGAGGAAAAGGACAGAGAAAGGAGATGGGGGCCACGCTGACAAGAAAGGATCAGGATGGGGTCTCCGGAAAGATGCAGGACTCGGGGTCCAGCTCCCTGCCGCTTTATGGGGGGCACAACTCCCCTCCTCCTGGAACCTGCCGTAACCAGATTGGCTTCCGGGCTCCTCTGCCTGACATCATTTCTTCCAGTGGTCTCCATGCAGACAGACTTGTCTATCTGCTTGCTTGTCCTGGTCATGCCTCTTGAGGCCTTACATTTGTGGGGGCATCTTGTTCGTGAGCAGCCTAGAGTTAGTAAGGGTGGATGTGGATTGGACTCTATGATGACCCCAGAGTGAATGCGCAGGACTCTAGAGTGAATGCACATGTATGTGCGTATGTTGGTGCACAGGTGTGAGTACACACTGCTTTAAAGCTAGAAGCCAACTGGACACGGTGGCACACACCTGTAATCCTAGCACTCGGGAGGCTGAGGCAGAAGGATTGCTGCGAGTGTGAGGCCGGAGCAGGCTACAAAGTGAGTTCAAGGTCAGCCTGAACCACAGACTAAGATCCCATCTCCAAAAAAAAAAAAAAAAAAGAAAGAAAGAAAGAAAAAGAAACAAACAGAAAAAAGCCAGGCATTCCCCTTGCCTCCCCTTTATTTTACTGAAGGGGGGAAGCTTGTCTTCTGTGCCCTGGCTTCTCTCATGTCCCGCCCGCAGCCCTTTTCCTGGTCTCTTCGTGCAGTGCCCAGGCCATGGCACCTCCCTTTTCCTGGCTCTGCTCTCCTTCTGCTCCTCTCTGACCACTTTCCGGCTCTCTCCAGGGAAGTTTAACTCCTCCTAGTCTGGATCAGCCACATGGCCAGAAGGGACCCCAGCTTAGTTTCTGGTCTACAGACCCTATTTCCGCTCTCCTCCATCCCAGGACCCCGCCCAGCCTGTGCTCAGGCTCCAGCCTCCTGCAGCCCTGTGTCTTGTCTCTACTGAACGGACTCTGAGAGCCCACACCTCCATTGGGACCCGGTGCTTCTGTCACCGTGGGGGCCATCGGCTACCTTGCTATCTTGGGACCCCAGAACCCCGCCCCACATATTGCTCAGGGGAGGGGCTGGGGAGCCGGCCCAGGGACCTCTTCTCCGCCTGCCACAGCCTGCTTGCTAGGGAAGCCCAGAAACACACAAGGGTCTGTGTCCCACATGGCACAGGCCCAGCCCCAGACTTCCACCACTGTGTCCCTGACCCCAAGGTGAGGTGCAGCTGAGCCCTGAATAACGTGCACCAGATATGGAGTGGAGTTCTGGGGTGGCCAGGAGCTGCCGGGGACCCCCAGCTGACTAGATCCCCAAGTGCCAGGTCCCACACACATGGCCAGTTGGCCACCAGTGTGTGACTGGATGCAGGGCCAGGGGAGGGGGTCAGCGGAGGGGTGCAGGCCTGCAGGGAAGGCCGGAGGGCACAGATCTTGCTCCATAATCCAGCAGTGTCTGCCCCCGGGCCCACCCAGGCCAGGCCAAGCCTTGGGGGACCGGGAAACACCGCTGCCCTGTGGACAGTGGCTGCACTGCAGCGGTGTCGTTCCCCCCCCCCCCCTCCTGCCCAGGCTGCCTCACTTCCCCCTTCCTGAGAGCAGGGCCTCCGCCTGCAGGAGGTTCAATCCTGGGAGGCCCTCATGTTCTGCCCCTGGGCAGGTCAACATGGTGCCTGCGGTGCCTGGCGTGTCTAGACGGAGGGGTCCCCAGGTGCAGGTGCTGAACCGGCTGGAGAGCCCCGCCCTTGTCTGGGCATGGCAGTCTGAGGGGCAGGGCGGTTCTGGAGACCCGGTCGAAGCACTGCTCTGTGCCAGCTAAGCCCACTGGGTGAATGGGAAACCGAGGCCCAGCCAGACCCAGTGATAATGATGGTGGTGGTGGTGGTGGCCCCTCTGGCCTTCCTGGGGCACCAAGGCCCCGCCCCCTGAGCCCACTCAGGGCACCTAGGCTTGGGGCTCTGCGGGACACCTGGGGCCAGTGCTGGGCTGTGCAACTCACAGCAGGTTGCTTTCCTCCCTGGAGAGGGGAAGCTGAGCGCTGGGGGGATGACGAGCTTCTGGGGCTCCTCCACAGTGCTTCTCACTCTTGGGTGGAAATGTGAGCCCCTAAGTCACCGTTCCTAACTCAGAGTCACTACCATCGCCCCCACCGTCACCACCCTGAGTGATGCACTGTCTGGGGTCCACCTGCCCCAAGGCTCCTGGAGGTGGCAGGGAAGAACATCTTGTGATTTGTATCTGGGGTGCGGGCACTGTGCCCCCTGCTCAGCCCCGGCTCAGTTTCACCCCAGCCCCCCAGAGAAGGTCCCAGAAGGAGGGTACCGAAGAGTAAGGCCCGCTACCCCGGTCCCCAGTGCCACGCAGCCTCATGTCCATCTCCCAGCAGCTAAGGCCTGGTGACATCAGTGTCACCAGAGAGTTGAATGGGGCTGGACTGGTCTTAGCATCTCCAAATTTCCAGGGAGACAGAGACAGCCCCTCCTGGACATCCTGGGCTGGGGTCCCCTGGTGTTTCCTGTGCTCCAATGACTAAGGCCACCTGCTCTGGGCCTCAATCGCCCCATCAGACAGATGGGGACAAGAAGGGCAGTACAGTAATGCCGGCCAGCAGTCCCTCCTCCTGGCACCGGTGGGGTGGAGCGAGGCCGGAAGGGCGGAGGAAGCCACTTCCGCCAGGCCAGGGGCAGCAAACGCAGGCACTGATAAGGTGCACATGGCCGACGGCACATCCGCTCTTTGTCCCAGCCCTGGCCAGCCTTTCCTGGGCAGGGCCTGTTGGCTGGAGACAGTGGGCCGCCCACCCTGCTCTCCTGCAGCTTGCCCAG